TGCATAAAAAATGTTGTGGGGTGTTTATTTGCCTAGAAAAGGTGTTTTGTTCTATTTAATTACTTTGTAGCACGTTTTTACAATAAATATGTACTTCGTTAAAATCGTATTTATCTAAAAATTTATTAGTATTTTAACCTCAACTATTTAGTTACTGAAAATGTTACTAAAAATCAGGAAAACAACATAAATTTTATAAGGGTCCTAGATAATACCAACAGAAACCCTAAATAATTTACATTGACAAGTATTATAGAAAAAAAAACGAACTATACCTTATGAATGAGTTTTCTAAAACAAAATGGTAGTCATTTTTCACGGAGTGAATAATAGCGGTGAATAATAATCATTAATAATGATTAAATGTTATATATAAATTATGCTGAAAAGTCAGATTCTTTTGGGGGCTTGTGTATGTAAGTACATACTAGATATTTGGAAGTACTTAAACTGTCTTAAAAGTAGCTAAATTACTTAAAAGGAATTAAAATTAACAAAAAAAGTAGCTAACAATGAGGAGTTAACTACTTTCTGCGAATATTTTATGCTAGCATAAAATAATCGAGTATAACTACTAATAGAACAAAAGTAGTTAGAATACAACTACTTTTACACAAAAAGTAGATGACTACGTAGTTAACTACTTTTGTAGTTAACTACTGCCCAGCTGTGGATAGTACTAGTGTAAAACTAGAACTAATACTATACCTGGAACTAGAAACATTCGGGTTTAGCCGAACGTCTCAAAAGACGGCTAAACCCAAATGTTGTTAGTTCTAGTTTTAGTTCAATAAAAATATACAACAACCTGGCGATGTATAACAAATAAAACCTGCTCGCTGCAATTAATACATTTTGTAAAATGACATCAAAGATGACTTTTCAAAACGTCTGATTCAATTGATAATGCATCAGGATTTCAAACCAATCCAACTAAATCTATTGACTGTGACTTTATTATAGATATAACCTAAGCATAGTCAAGGTGAAGAAAAAAGACATTATGGCAAACCAGATTTGTTTCATGTTTCTTGGAAGGAACTGGGGTGTTAAACCACGAAGACTCAGTGAGGATTTCAATTCGGGTTTCAAAACAAAACTAACATATCCTAACATTCCTTCACGCTATAATTGGAGTTTCGTCACGGTATAATTTGGGTTCAAAAGAAAACCGACATCTCTTCACGCTATAATTAGGGTTTCAAAACAAAACTAACCTATCCTAACATTCCTTCACGCTATAATTGGAGTTTCTTCACGCTATAATTTGGGTTCAGAAGAAAACCGACATTCCTTCACGCTATAATTAGGGACCAAAACAAAACTGACCTATCATAACATTCCTTCACGCTATAATATGGGTTCAAAAGAAAACCGACATTCTTTCACGCTATAATTAGGGTACCAAAACAAAACTGACCTATCCTAACATTCCATCACGCTATAATTAGAGTTTCTTCACGCTATAATTTGGGTTCAAAAGAAAGCCTACATTCCTTCACGCTATAATTAGGGTTCAAAAGAAAGCCGACATTCCTTCACGCTATAATTAGGGTTTCNAGACAATTTGAGGTTAGGAATGCTTAATCCCAAAAATTCTTAGGTAAAACTGGTTAATGAGTACACAATAAATTAATCTTTATTAAAACTTGAATTAGAGGTGATTTGTTCTTCATTTTATTTGTGTAAAGGAAAATTATTTAAATAAATTTATTAATTCTTTTTTAATTTTATTATCGATAGATGGCGCTAATTACTGTGACGCCGCCATTTTGGCTCGAAAGTCAAGCGGGAAATTTAAAACTACGTCGTTCTGTTGATAACATTACGCCAAAACTCCTTTCTTTTTTCTCGTAGTACTCTTAAGAGTCGAAAGTCCTTCTTACTGCTATTTTTGCAACTTCAAAGGCAACAAGATGGCAATATTTTTGTAAATAAGTGGTAGGATGCAGTGACAAGTTGTCAAACCGCTATTTTGACTCGAAAACCGCGGTACTTTGTAAATCTACGGACTTTATGACGTTTGACCGTTATAAGTCTATGGATATAACACTATACCATAGACATAGATATACATATATCTATAAATATATTTTTTTGGACATATTTATGGACTATACTTTGTTTTTTTGAATTCAGAGGAATAAAATAAAAAGTCACGTTTACACAGTGTAATTTTTCACAGTATAGGGTCAGATACTGTTGGCAAAAGACTAATTGTTGCTATCAGAAGATTAAATACTGCTAGTAAGACTAAAAACTGCTTGGAAAGAGGAAATACTATTTCAAAAAGTTACCTACTGCTTCTAACATACTAGATACTTCAAAAAAAGACCACAACTTACTTGGAAAAGACTAGATACTGTTTTCAAAATAATACCTATTGCTTTCAAAAATTTTAATAATTGTTTGGAAAAGAGATATACTTTCCAAAAGGCTACCTACTGCTTCCAGAATGTTAGATACTGCTGGAAAAGAGTAATAACTGCTTGGAAAAAAAAGATATGCTTCCTAAAAGGCTACCTAATGCTGCCAGAATGCTAAATACTACTGGAAAGGACTAGATACTGTTTTCAAAATAATACCTATTGCTTCCAGAACGCTAAACACTGCTGTTAAAGGTTTTGACCTACTTGGACTGGCGGAATACTGCTTCCAAGACTACTTATTCCTTTGAAAGACTTTAATAATTGTTAGGAAAAAAGAGATATGCTTCCCAAAAAGCTACCTAATGCTGCCAGAATGGTAAATACTACTGGAAAAGACTAATAACTTACTTGGAAAATAGAGATATGCTCTCCAAAAAAACCTACTACTTCCAAAATGCTAGATACTGGTGGAAAGGATTACAGTCTGCTTGGAGAAGACTAGATAGTTCTAACAAACAACTTCAAACTGATTGAAAAGACAAAATACTGCTTCCATAAGACTACTTACTGTTTCCAGAGCGCTATATACTACTAGAAAAGATTGCTACCTGCATGAACAAGCCTAATTACTGCTGGAAGAAACTATGAACTGTTTGGTAAGACAAGATGCTGTATCCAAAAGACAATTAACTACTTTCAGTATGTTAAATATTGTTGGCAAGACTACTAATTGCTTGGAGAAAGCTAGATATTGTTGGCAAAGACTATTTAATGCTTTCAGAAGACTATATGCTGCTGCCAAAACACTACTAAGTGCTTGGAGATCACAATACTACTGGTTGAAGTCTATTTACTAAAACTATTCTTCTGTTGAGTGATATCTTTCTGTATCCCTTGCATTACAAATTTAAAAATTGTTGCTACAACACTCGATTCTTTGTCACCCAGGTTAATTAACATTTAAACCAGTGCGAATTTCTCAAATGTTCGGTTGGGTATAGAGCAGAAGGTGTGTTTATGCTATTGATGGTTGCAGACATGCCTTCAAAAGCCATGCGCTCATCTCATAAGTTCAAACAGAGTCCAACTTCTGCAAAAGCAGCTCAATGTCAGCCTGAGGTGATTTATCGAAATCTCGAGCTGGGAAACAATACTTTAAAGTAAGTCCAAACGACGCATTTATCTCATAAAACCAAAAACTTCGAACTTTCAAGTTTTAATTTTGACATATTTCTCAACTTCATAAAAAATCCTTTAAAATGAGTCCAAACTCGACATATTTAACTTTGATATTAAAGGAGATACAATCACTTCCGGTTTGAAACGTCAACGTCAATTTTGACATATTCGTCATCTTCATTAAAAAAGCTTTGAAATGAGTCCAAACAAGACGCACTTATCTCAAAAAATAAAGGAGACAATTTGAGGTTAGGAATGCTTAATCCCAAAAATTCTTAGGTAAAACTGGTTAATGAGTACACAATAAATTAATCTTTATTAAAACTTGAATTAGAGGTGATTTGTTCTTCATTTTATTTGTGTAAAGGAAAATTATTTAAATAAATTTATTAATTCTTTTTTAATTTTATTATCGATAGATGGCGCTAATTACTGTGACGCCGCCATTTTGGCTCGAAAGTCAAGCGGGAAATTTAAAACTACGTCGTTCTGTTGATAACATTACGCCAAAACTCCTTTCTTTTTTCTCGTAGTACTCTTAAGAGTCGAAAGTCCTTCTTACTGCTATTTTTGCAACTTCAAAGGCAACAAGATGGCAATATTTTTGTAAATAAGTGGTAGGATGCAGTGACAAGTTGTCAAACCGCTATTTTGACTCGAAAACCGCGGTACTTTGTAAATCTACGGACTTTATGACGTTTGACCGTTATAAGTCTATGGATATAACACTATACCATAGACATAGATATACATATATCTATAAATATATTTTTTTGGACATATTTATGGACTATACTTTGTTTTTTTGAATTCAGAGGAATAAAATAAAAAGTCACGTTTACACAGTGTAATTTTTCACAGTATAGGGTCAGATNATGGAAATACAATCACTTCCGGTTTGAAACGTCAACGTCAATTTTGACATATTTGTCATCTTCATTAAAAAACCTTTAAAATGAGTCCAAAGATGACGCACTTATCTCAAAAAATAAAAAAGTTAGAATAAAAAACAAACCCGAAGTTAGCAACAATGAAGATAGCAATTCAATTTTTAAATATTAATAGCAACCTTAATTTTTATTTTATTTTATTATATTTTTGTAACAAATATTAAGATATTTTATAAAAATTAAGAATATGTCAAAATGACGTTGACATTTCAAACCGGAAGTTGTTTATATCTCGAGTAATATTGTAATTAAACGTATCATGTTTGGACTCATTTTAAAGGATTTTTCACGACGATTCCAAATATGTCAAAATTGACGTTGACATTCTCAACCGGAAGTTGATCATAACTTCATTAATATTAAAGATAAATATGTCGTGTTTGTACTCATTTTAAAGGATTTTTAATGAAGATTNAATGTTTTTTTAATTTTACTTTATCTTTTTTCTTTTATATACAAAAATATAAAATTGCTTCTTAAGTGAAATATACCGTATAAATAAAAACGTAGAAATGTCAATTTTTCCCATGACGTTACAATGAGGCCTTTCCGGGGGATACGTTCATATATAACAGCAGCGTTCATATGGAGTTGAATAACCTTCTTATACAGCATGTTTACTCAACGGACCTTGGTTGCTGTTTATTTTTAATAAAAAAAAATATATGAGCGCCATCTATCAATAATTTATTACGTCATTTAATAATAATATTAATAAAAAATGTGAAATAATGCAATCTATTCCAACTTTTGTGTAAAACTAATATAAATTAAATAGTTCAACAAATGTATTAATTTCAAATATCAGAAATATGATTTTTTAATTTTGTTATAATTTACAGGAAACTGTAAATTTAATTTCTTTGACGACACTAAAAAAAGTTTATTTTTAGCTTTATTCTAAAACAATAAGAAATAGACCTGTTAAACCCTATATTTTCGTAATCAGAAAAAAATAACGAATTTAATAAGCGAATAATCAGTTTTAGTCCCACTTTATTAATTAATTAATTAAAAAAGTTATTAAATTAAGTTAAAGCTTTAAAGTTTGAATGGGAATTGTGTAATTAGAAGTCCAATCTCGTTCGAAAACGCTTTGTAATTGGCTCCTTATTGAATTTTCGGTGTTTGTTTGGTTTTTATCGTCCTCAAAAACAAATCCAACTCCCGCTGTGTTTATGAAATAATCCCCGGACCAATTTGAAGTCCCAATATAGGCCGTTTTATCAGTAACCATGTATTTATTATGATTTACACGCCCGAAAGGGATTTTTTCTTGATCCTCCGACGTTGGAACGACGAAATGTTTCTATAAAATTAATTTTAAAGTCAATAAAAAAGAATGTCATTAAAATAATTACAATTTCAATAGAAACCCATTTGTATGACTCATTTAGAATTAAAAGTGATTTTAAAAAATTATCTTCAGAATCCCGCGAATGCTTCCAATGACTGATTAGCATTTTTATTTCAATTCCGTTAATTGCAGCGGATTTTAAAGCGTCATCGATGACTGGCCAGAATTGAATCCTTTTTGTGTATAAAATTAGAGGTAAATAATCCATAACTGCGACGTAAATGAATTTATTCGCCGTTTGAATTGTGTTTAATATAGCATCGATGTCGTTTGTACGACCTTGAGGGTTTAATTGTAAAGGTGAACTCTAAAATTGATTTATTTAAAAAAAAATTAATTCAAGGATTTATTTTTTGTACTGATAGAAATCCTGTATAAGTAATATTTTTGGTATCAAAAATTTTAATTGGATTCTCCTTGTTAATATTGGTACTAAATTTATTATCCCAATGATCTGGGATTATTGCATTTTTCCCTAACTCCCAATAAACATCAAAAATTTTTTTTAAATCCTTTGCTAAACACCGACATTTTCTCCCAACAACCCCCATCTCTTTCACTTGTGTTAAAGCCCTCCAATCCATATTAGCACTCCCAATATAAAAATTCTCATCATCAATAATCCATATTTTAGTATGCAAAACCCCACCTCCTAATAATTGGGTAAAATTAACAGAGCGAACCTCCGCGGAATTCTCCTCTAAAATATTTGTATCATTGCTGATTGAATTTGGATCTGGGGCACTTTGAGCAATTCGAATTTTAATTTTTCGAATTGATCCTGCATCTAATAAAGCTTGGAAAATTTCTTCTCCCTGTAATCATTTATTTATTTTATTATCTTATCAAAATGTACTTAAATTTCAAGGATACGATTAAAAATATAATTTTTACTCACCTGTTTAGCTGTTGGATGTGGAATAACATCAACGCCCCTTAAAGTCCAATAAAACGAACCTATCTCAATCGATTTTTGCGCATTTTCAATCAAACTTTTCCAAGTATCAAACGTTGTGGGGAAAATCGGCGAATTATTTTTATAAAAAACTCCATCAGGGATACTTTCAACTAAAGAAAAACTAAAAAAACAAATTAAAAAATGTTTTTTTATAATTTTTTTTATATCTTACCTACAAGTATCTGGACAAGAATTGTTTCTAATTTTATTATTAACTTTGTGCAAAGCATTTTGTGCTACCTGATCTAATAACGGAACGAAAAATATCAATATAGTCAAAACTCCGAGTATAACCATAGGAATATATTGGACTTTAGTAAACGGTTTTTTACGGGACGTCGATAATATTTGTACTTGATCATCGTTTCCGTTGAAATAATAGTTTAAATTGGGGCCATCATCTTCGTGTGGGGCTTCGTAAAGCGTACTCGGTCGATTATCGCCCTACATAAAAATGTATCATTAACAAAATCTATACGAAATTTTATTGCTTACTTACTCTCATCTTATTTTAATTAATCGCAACGATTATTAATGATTTTAAATCGTTTCTTTGTCCATTTTGACATCAAGTTTTAGGTTACTTTGGATTTAATTTGATTACGAAATAGAAAAACAATGCGAAATGTCATCGAAGTAGCGCCATCTATTTTTAATCGATACAACTAAAATTTTTAACCTCAAATCCATTTTTGGCGTTAATATTAAACTTTTTTATTAATATTTTTAATAAATTAATTAATGTAGTTGTAATAATTACATTAATTAATTTAATTATATGAATGATTTTTAAATTATATTAATAAAAAAATATTAAAAACGTAATTGTCATATATGGTCACGCCATCTAGTAGTAAGAGACTGTCAACGATGACTGTCATTATTAGTTAAGGTTATATTCACAAAGTTTTATAAGTTATTTTTAATAAATGATTGTTAAAACTCCATTTGATTGTTACTGCCAGTAGTTACTTATACTCTATTTTTTAATTCGGAGAAGTGTTTTCAAATTGAAGCGCCAAAAAGAAGGGTTGTTATTGGTCAGTTTTGGTTTAGCCGCACGTCACTCAGTATGGCTAAACATGAATGATTCTAGTTCTAGATCTTGTGTTAGTTCTAGTGATAGTGTAAAACTAGAACTAACACTAGACCGAGAACTAGAAACATTCAGGTTTAGCCGCACGTCTTTCAAGACGGCTAAACCCGAATGATTCTAGTTGTAGGTCTTGTGTTAGTTCTAATAATAGTGCTAGTGTAAAAGTACAACTAACACTAGACCTAGAAACATTCAGGTTTGGCCGTACGTTTTCAGACGGAATTTACAACCCACCCTCTGCTTCATCTGGGTGACAAAGAATCAAGTGTTGTAACACTAATTTCTCATCTGTAATGGAAGGAACACAGAAAAATATCACTCAACAGAAGAATAGTTTCAGTAAATAGTCTTCAGCCACCAATATCGTGATCTTGAAGCACTTAGTAGTGTTTTGACAGCAGTATATAGTCTTCTGAAAGCATTAAATAGTCTTTGCCAACAATATCTAGCTTTTTCCAAGTAATTAGTAGTCTTTCCAACAATATTTAACATTCTGAAAGTAGTTAATAGTCTTTTGGATACAGTATTTTGTCGTTCCAAGCAGATAATAGTTTCTCCCAGCAGTATTTAATCTTCTGCAAGCAGGTTGTCATCTTTTCTAGTAGTATATAGCGCTCTGAAAGCAGCAAGTAGTCTTATGGAAGCAGTATGTCGTCTTTTCAATCAGTTTGAAGATGTTTGTTAGCACTATTTAGTCTTCTCCAAGTAGATTGTAATCCTTTCCACCAGTATCTAGCATTCTGGCAGCGTTAGGTAGCTTTTTGGGAAGCATATCTCTTTTTTCCAAGTAGTTATTACTCTTTTCCAGCAGTATCTAATATGCTGGAAGCAATAGGTAGCTTTTTGAAAAGCATATTTCTTTTCCAAACAATTATTAAAGTCTTTGAAAGCAATAAGTAGTCTTGGAAGTAGTATTCCGCCCGTCTAAGTAGGTCAAAACCTCTAACAGCAGTGTTTAGCGTTCTGAAAGCAATAGATATTATTTCGAAAACAGTATCTAGTCTTTTGCAGTAGTATTTAGCATTTTGGCAGCATTAGATAGCTTTTTGGGAAGCATATCTATTTTTTCCAAGCAGTTATTAGCCTTTTCCAGCAGTATCTAACATTCTCGAAGCAGTAGGTAGCTTTTTGCAAAGCATATTTCTTTTCCAAACAATAATTAATGCCTTTGAAAGCAGTATTCCGCTTGTCCAAGTAGGTCAAAACCTTTAACAGCAGTGTTTAGCGTTCTAGAAGCAATAGGTATTATTTTGAAAACAATATTTCGTCTTTTCTAGTAGTATTTAGCATTCTGGCAGCATTAGGTAGCTTTTTGGGAAGCATATCTCTTTTTTCCAAGCAGTTATTACTCTTTTCCAGCAGTATCTATCTGGAAGCAGTAGGTAGCTTTTTGGAAAGCATATTTCTTTTCCAAACAATTATTAAAGTCTTTGAAAGCAATAAGTAGTCTTGGAAGCAGTATTCCGCCTGTCCAAGTAGGACAAAACCTTTAACAGCAGTGTTTAGCGTTCTAGAAGCAATAGATATTATTTTGAAAACAGTATCTAGTCTTTTCCAGTAGTATTTGGCATTTTGGCAGTATTAGGTAGCTTTTTGGCAAGCATATCTCTTTTTTCCAAGCAGTTAATACTCTTTTCCAGCAGTATCTAACATTCTGGAAGCAGTAGGTAGCTTTTTGGAAAGCATATTTCTTTTCCAACTAATTATTAAAGTCGTTGAAAGTAATAAGTAGTCTTGGAAGCAGTATTCCGCTTGTCCAAGTAGGTCAAAACCTTTAACAGCAGCATTTAGCATTCTGGAAGCAGTATCTAATCTTTTCCAAGTAAGTTGTGGTCTTTATCTGTAGTATCCACCATGTTAGAAGTAGTAGTAGTAGATAACTTTTTGAAATAGTATCTAACCCTAAACTTTTTAGTTCACTTAAAATCCTGTTTTTAAAACTCCCGCCAAAAAATAGGTTTGAAAAATTACACTTTGTAAACGTGACTTTTCATTTTACTCCTCCCAAATTAAAAATAGAGTATAGTCCTTGTTTATAGATATACATATATCTATAAACAAGAGTATAGTGTTATATCCATAGATTTATAAGGGACAAACGTTACAGTAACTAGCGCCATCTATCGATAATAAAGTTAAAAAAGAATTAATAAATTTATTTAAATATTTCGCCTTTACACGAATAAAATAAAGAACAAATCACCTCTAATTAAAGTTTTAATAAAGATTAATTTATTGTGTATTCATTAACCAGTTTTACCTAAGAATTTTTGGGATTAAGCATTCCTAACCTCAAATTGTCTCCTTTAAAAAGAAATATATCACACATTGGCAAAAAAATAGGGTTTCTTTTTAATTTGTTGCTTAAAATACATAACAGAATCATTGGAATTTGTTCAGGATGTTGTAATTTAGTCCCTTTAATTTACAAAATCCAAAAATAAAGAATAAACACTACAACCACAATACAACCAGCTGCTGCTTTAACATACATCGATTTCATATTTAAATATGTAGCATCTTTTTTGTACTTTTGCGTTAACATCGCTATATTTTGGGTTTTTGCATCCAACTCTAAAAAGGTATAAAAATATATTTTGTTATCACAAATTTATTATTTATTACCTGATAAAACTGTTCCACGTTGTAAAACATCATCAATATTCTGTACCATAATCCTTTGAACATCTTGTAATTGATTATTAATAGTATTTAAATTCCTTCTTGATCGCGAATCAGTAAAAATTTTCTTTGCTTTTTGTATATAATTATCGAATTCAATAAATGTGTAAGGCCTTGTAACCGTATTAACTCTTTTTCCATATTGAGTATGAAATTCTTGAGCTATATCATCTAAATAAGAATAGGCCAAACGTTTTGAATAGTTTTTTTCACACAAAACTAAATAACAAATATCATGTTCTATTAAATAACTAAAATAAACAAATACAAAAAATAAACAATACACATAAACAGATTTATCCCTTACTGAAAAAGATAGGGTCCCGTTTCTATGGTACATCTAGCTGGTGATTGTGGTCCCAACTTCCTAAACAACATTTTTGCTTGGTTTTGATAATCTAATATACCTCGACCAGCCTTAAACAACAAATTATAATAAATACGTTAACAATTTGATTCAAAATTATATTTTTACCTGCTCGTCTTCTTGCATTGTAGCCGCCAATGGTAGCCCATCAGCTACACGAGCTATCATCGTCATTAAAACCATTTTTTAAACCAATATTTCTGTTTAATTTGACGATGAAAGTAATAATTTTATAGGTTAGTTACACGTCATGTTCACACGTCATTTTTGTAACAGGAATCTTGAATATCGTCTCAAATTTTAAATTAACTTTAATTTTAAATAACTAATTTATTAATTAAAAATTTAAATAAAATTAAGTCTTATTATAATAAGTAAATATGATTGAATATAAATAAAAACTAAATATTAATATTTTTTTAAAATATTAATCTGTCATATAGATGGCGACACCAATCAAAACGAAATTTGTAATGTCATTTTTTTGTAATTTGAGGTTAATTTTGACATAAATTTGTTTATTTAAATTTAGTATTGATAAGGGTCTAATAAAACCCAACAAAGCATAACAAATTTGCCGTATATAAAATGTATTCATGTAATTTCCAATAGACGACGAAGAACTAACTCAATTCATTTTCCTTTCAACCTCAAACTTTCCTTATTCGCAGTCTCGGGTCCCTAAACGAGAGAAACAAAGCGAGCCCCCCTTTAGGACATTAGACATGTGTGTGTAGGGCTTTGATGTGATACGGCGGTTAGTTAGTCGTCGTTTCGGCGGATTCCTCCGATAGGATAATTACGTTAGGAGAAACGCGAACGGGATCCGCATCCCCCTTAATGTTAACGCAAATAAGAAGATTATCCCCCTTTACATACCCGATACAATAAGACAATTTCATTCGATTATTCTATTCGAGTAAATAAAATGGGTTATTTATTTAATTTTTAGGTTCCCACGGAAAAGAAAACGAAAATGGAACAGGTGATGATCTCGTTCGTTTTCGGGGGCTCCAAAATGAAGACATTAACCGGGGAGATTTTTCTTATTTTTTTCGTTTTCAAATAAATTGGTTGGCATCGGTCAGTTTTCGACTGTGAACGACTGTGGGCGTCTCCGGCGCCGTTATTAGCCTTGTGCTGCGTCTTTTTCTTCCTCTAGAATTAAAACGTTACGTTGATGTATCACCGCGAGTCCCAACAAATGCGAATGGGGCGGAGATCTATAAGGTCCATGCTAAATTACTTATGAACTTTAAAGGGGATTGACTCCGAAATGTTCCTAACTTTTTTTTTTTCTTTGTATATATTCATCCGGATAATGAAGATAATTCATATACAAAGGATTAATTAATCATAATTTAATTTAAAAACCAGTTATAAAAGTTTTTATCATAACATTTTTAAACCACTAAATAAGAGGTTTATTTAGTTTTAGTTCAATAGAAATATACAACAACCTATATCTATCTATTGAAAATTTCGGGTTTAGCCCTGCATCTTTAGACTATTCTTTATATCTACAGTGTTGGGCATAAATTAACACTTCCTGCACCAGTCATTCTTGCAAGTCGCCCAATAAAACCGCTCTCTTAACTTGTTACGCCTTGTTACTTAGTCTTCATTACGCTGAGATGATCCCATTATAGATTTCCGTTAGGACTTCTAAAACTCTGCAACGAGGAATCTAACTCCTCACGTCCCCACCATCAGGAGTCAGCACCAAAGAATTCCATTGCGCCCAGCATGTCTTCACAGCCGGTGAGTACTTAAGTACTTTTTCATTCGATAATCAATTTTAGGGTGTGTTCGTTACCTTGGTCGGTTCCTCATGCCCTCAGCATTCCAGTGGTCATCTACGAGAGTTGTCCTGTACAATTGATCTTCCTTTAATTCCGTTCGTTGGCAATACTTGCAGTCTACAGGACATGGTCTTCTTGATAGGGTATCAGCGTTGCAATGTCTACGGCCCGTTCGATGCTCTGTATCAAAGTTGAACTCTTGGAGTCTCTCAATCCATCTCGCAACTTGACTCTCGGGATTTTTGAACTATAGCAGCCATGTTAGCGTAGCGTGGTCTGCCCTTAGCAGAAATTTGTGATCGTAGAGATATTTGTGGAAATGCTCTACTGCCTTTATAATCGCCAAGAGTTCTCTCCATGTTACACAGTAGTTGCGTGATAGAGTTTTGCTGAAGTATCTTATAATCTTTTTCTGACCATTTTGGATTTGGGACAAGACCGCCCCCAGGCCTACATTACTAGCGTCTGTGTCTAGTATAAATTTCCCATTGCCCCCCACCCCATATATACCTTCTGAAGACTAGATACTGCTCTGGAAGATTAAATACTGCTTTCTGAAGACTAGATACTGCCGACAGGTCGAAATACAGCGTCTGGAACACTAAATGCTCCTAAACACTGCTATCTAAAGACTAAAATTGCTTTGTGGAGACTAAATACTGCTTTCTGAAGACTAACTACTGCTGACAGGTCTAAATACTGCAAACGAAAGATAAGATACTGTTGGAGAAAACATACATAACTTTGGCAGAAAATTAGATACTGCTTCTAGAAGACTAAATACTGCTTTCTGAAGACTAGATAGCNAGGTTTGACGTTTCGGATGCCATGTTGCAACCTTCTTCGGAAACTGGTTCTGAACTTCTGCAAACTTCAATAATTTGTTGATTGCTTATATTTAATGTAAAACTCATCCAAATTTTAGTAATAATACTGTACCTCCTTCAAACCGTTTGTTGCTGACTCTTCGGTTTTATGCAATAGGTAACATGTTGCTATCCATAGCAGATTTTGCAGGAGTGAGTGTACAATTAGCATCTTTAGTCGTTCATCATGTTAGTTGTGCCATTATTGTTTACCATCGACATTTTAACATACAATAATAAGAGATTCTTCTTTGATGAAATTGGTGGTTCGTCGCCTTTTCTCAGTCTCCATTTCCAAATTTTAATTTTAAGGTTAGAACCAAGGTTTATATATTAAAGGTTGTCTAAGTTCCTATGCTACAATACTTAAAATAAAATATATTATATTATAAAATGGTTTTTACACGTTTTTCGAATTATAAAAAATAAAAGAATTTTTTTTGCCAACTTTGACGTCCTCTAGCGGCGAAACGAAGCAACTTTGGATATAGATAACTTAACTTAAATCCATCTATTTTGAGCAAAGGAATCTGTGGTCTTCCGTTGTACACGCATTTCGGAGACAACTGTATAAACCTTGGGTTAGAATATGGTCAAAATACCTAATAGTAGGTCTCTTGACCACATAGAGCTGTCAATTTAACATAATAGACCAAAAAATCCCTAAATTCCTTGGCTATCTCAAGGATTTCTTAACTATGAGATAAACAGAGGTGGTAGTATGTACGACCCTGTTATCTACGAGATACATTGTATCTTACACATAGCTTAACTGACAGATAGCATTGGTTTGGTAGTAACCGGCCTTAGTATCACAAAAAAAGTAGTTCATGCTCGCGAAAACCGCAACTTTCTATGTTTCATAATAACTGAGATACCCTGCAAACCCATCGAAATTTGGACACCCTGTACATCCTAAGAGCAAAAGTGTAAGAGAGCAATATTGTTAAAAATAAAATTTGTTACAACTTTTATTCTAAAAGTCTTATTGTAATATGCTTAGATTCCCCAGTGGTGCCATCAACAACTTGCAAAAAACAAGGATTCATCCAATTTCCATATCTTCGTATTTTTCTCAATATCTATGCATCTACGAGTAAAAGTGCAAGAGAGCAATATTGTTAAGAACAAAATTTGCTATAACTTTTGTTCTAAAAGTTTTTTTGTAGTATGCTTAGATTCCCCCGTGATACCTACCATCAGCAACTTGCAAAAACAAGGACTCTCAAATTTTCATATTTTTCTCAATATCTATGCATCTAGGAGTAAAAGTGCAAGAGAGCAATATTGTTAAGAACAAAATTTGCTATAACTTTTGTTCTAAAAGTTTTTTTGTAGTATGCTTAGATTCCCCCGTGGTACCTACCATCAGCAACTTGCAAAAACAAGGATTCTCAAATTTTCATATTTTTCTCAATATCTATGTATCTAGGAGCAAAAGTGCAAGAGAACAATATTGTTAAGAATAAAATTTGCTATAACTTTTGTTCTAAAAGTTTTTTTGTAATATGCTTAGATTCCCCAGTGGTACCTTCCATCAGTAACTTGCAAAAAAGAAGGATTCTCAAATTTTCATATTTTTCTCAATATCTATGCATCTAGGAGTAAAAGTGCAAGATANAAATACTGCCTTCTAAAGACTAAAATTGCTTTGTGGAGACTAAATACTGCTTTCTGAAGACTAGATACTACTGACAGGTCTAAATACTGCAAAAGAAAGATAAGATATTGTTGGAGAAAACATACATAACTTTGGCAGAAGATTAGATACTGTTTCTAGAAGACTAAATACTGCTTTCTGAAGACTAACTACTGCTGACAGGTCTAAATACTGCAAAAGAAAGATAAGATATTGTTAAGATAAGATATGTTGGAAAAAACATTAAAAAGGCGCCGGCGCCCCCTTTTAGGCGGCGCCCGGTAGCGCCGCCACTGGTATACAAGATGTTTTGTAAAATGTAAGTAGCGTAGATCCAGCCTTAGTATTTATCATGTTGAACTTTGATTCATTACTGAATAACACCCTTTCCATTTCTAGATGGTCCAATTTAAATATTCTTTTGCAAAAGCTAATCGACTAATTCTTTGTTTTTTTTGTAGCAAAGGTTTCTTTGGCGTTGAATTGTACTAAGTAGGAAACTAAGTTGAGTCTTTATTTTATTGGTAGGCAAAAATGGGTTAATCTAACATTTTCTTTTAATCAAATTATCGTCCCTTTTAGTTGTTTTTCGTAGTCGCCCAGAACGTAATGGGCTAACTACTAAACCTTTTCATTGTAGGTAGCGTTTAATAATCTTTGATATAATTGATTTATTTATGGCAAACTGAGAGCTAATGACACTTTGAGACAATGTTAGTATCAACAATTTGCAGAAAGCAATGAATTTATCAAATTTTCATATTTTTGTTAATATTGTTAAGAATAAAATTTGCTACAACTTTTGTTCTAAACGTTTTTTTGTAGTATGCTTAGATTCCTCAGTGGTACCTACCATCAGTAGCTTGCAAAAACAAGGATTCTCAAATTTTCATATTTTTCTCAATATCTATACATCTAGGAGTAAAAATGCAAGAGAGCGATATTGTTAAAAGTAAAATTTGCTACAACTTTTCTTCTAAAAGTTTTTTTGTAGTATGCTTAGATTCCTCAGTGGTAGCTACCATCAGCAACTTGCAAAAAACAAGGATTCTCAAATTTTCATGATTTTCTCAATATCTATGCATCTAGGAGTAAAAGTGCAAGAGAGCAATATTGTTAAGAATACAATTTGCTACAACATTTATTCTAAAAGTTTTTTTGTAATATGCTTAGGTTCCCCAGTGGTACCATCAACAACTTGCAAAATACAAGGATTCATCAAATTTCCATATTTTCGTATTTTGCTCAATATCTATGCATCTAGGAGTAAAAGTGCAAGAGAGCAATATTATTAAGAATAAAATTTGCTACATCTTTTGTTCTAAACGTTTTTTTGTAGTATTCTTAGATTCCTCAGTGGTACCTACCATCAGCAACTTGCAAAAACAAGGATTCTCAAATTTTCATATTTTTCTCAATATCTATGCATCTAGGAGTATAAGTGCAACAGAGTAATATTGTTAAGAATAAAATTTGCTATAACTTTTGTTCTAAAAGTTTTTTTGTAATATGCTTAGATTCCCCAGTGGTACCTTCCATCAGTAACTTGCAAAAAAGAAGGATTCTCAAATTTTCATATTTTTCTCAATATCTATGCATCTAGAAGTAAAAGTGCAAGAGAACAATATTATTAAGAAGACAATTTGCTACAACTTTTATTCTAAAAGTTTTTTTCTAGTATGCTTAGATTCCCCCGTGGTACCTACCATCAGCAATTTGCAAAAAACAAGGATTCTCAAATTTTCATATTTTTTTCAATATCTATGTATCTAGGAGCAAAAGTGCAAGAGAGCAATATTGTTAAGAATAAAATTTGCTACAACTTTTGTCCTAAAAGTTTTTTTCTAGTATGCTTAGATTCCCCAGTGGTACCTACCATCAGCAATTTGCAAAAAATAAGGATTCTCAAATTTTCATATTTTTCTCAATATCTATGCATCTAGAAGTAAAAGTGCAAGAGAGTAATATTGTTAAGAATAAAATTTGCTACAACTTTTGTTCTAACAGTTTTTTTGTAATATATTAAGATTCCCCTTTGGTATCATCAAGTTGCAAAAAGAAGAAATTCATCAAATTTTCATAGTTTCGTATTTTTCTCCATATCTATGCATCTAGGAGATAAAAGTGCAAGAGAGCAATATTATTAAGAATAAAATTTGCCACAACTTTTGTTCTAAAAGTTTTTTTGTAATATGCTTAGATTCCCAAGTATTACCTACCATCAACAACTTGCAAAAAAACAAGGAAACCATCAAATTTTCGTCGATATCTATGCATCTACAGTACCGGCCGATACTTAGGTTGGCATTAGAGACGCACATCTAAACCCAAGCAAATGTAAAAAAGACCTTTGACATCATTTGAACAACAATATAAATATCTAATTGAACCTCTTCTTTTTATTATTTAAAATATATTTATCTTTTCTATTAATTACGATTCTTGTTGTTTAAAATAATACAGGTGCTTTTTAATATTAATTTAAGAAAAATAAGTTTTACCCGTTGGGTGTAGCCATTGCAAAGGGCGCGGCATTTCACTCCAATTAGGGTAATAGGTTTCATTAGCGTCCATACAACTACCTGTGTTCATTGTGCCGGGCACAATACGGCGGCCGACCGCTTTTGTCGACTTAATTGCATATTAAAACCGAGTGTTTCTTCTTCTTTCTTCTCACCATCTCAGCGCGCCGAACCGTCTGGAATGCGTAATTGACAGTTTGATTGCCCCCCTGAGGTGGAAACCGGCAGGACATGGCAATGAAGAAATGAAAAGACTTATGAAGTCGAAGAAAAAGAAGCCGTGAAAATAAAGAAAATTTATTTCGTGGGCGCGGTTCCGCCAGATTAGTTTAGACAATACATAACTAATGATGTTTGGAGTGTCGCGGAACCCCTTTGTGGTCTGCCGAGCGGGAGCAGTGGGCTATTAGGCCCCCATTGGGGGCCGTGGCCCCGCTTCGGCACCCCGATTGCCTTCCATGCAATTAATTACTGTCGACTCGCGTAACAATACAAAAACACCTAAATTAAACCCATTTTTGATAAGAAATATTAGAAATCATATTACTAGATTTAAAAATTTATTCGAATTCTTTTTGATTGAAATAAAAACAACAAGAAGGGAGGAAAAAAGAGGTCCATGTAGCTCCCTATTGTGGACCCCGCAAATGGGCTCCTGGGCTATGATCGAGTGACAACCGGTTTGATTGATGGACCGCGCCATAATTACGCCCTCATTATTAACTATTAATGTCCAATCCTGCTCTCGCAACACCCCTATCACTCCCAAGAAGGAACCCCCCTCTTTCATTCTTTCTTATTTATTTTTTATTTCAAAATCGGTACTACCTCTTNAACGTTTTTTTGTAGTATGCTTAGATTCCTCAGTGGTACCTACCATCAGCAACTTGCAAAAACAAGGATTCTCAAATTTTCATATTTTTCTCAATATCTATGCATCTAGGAGTAAAAGTGCAAGAGAGTAATTTTATTTTGTTAAGAATAAAATTTGCTACAACTTTTGTTCTAAAAGTTTTTTTCTAGTATGCTTAGATTCTCCAGTGGTACCTACCATCAGCAACTTGCAAAATACAAGGATTCATCAAATTTTCATATTTTTCTCAATATCTATGCATCTAGGAGTAAAAGTGCAAGAGAGCAATATTGTTAAGAATAAAATTTGCTACAACTTTTGTTCTAAAAGTTTTTTTCTAGTATGCTTAGATTCTCCAGCAGTACCTCCCATCACCAACTTGCAAAAAACAAGGATTCTCAAATTTTCATATTTTTCTCAATATCTATGCATCTAGGAGTAAAATTGCAAGAGAGTAATATTGTTAAGAATAAAATTTGCTACAACATTTGTACTAAAAGTTTTTTTCTAGTATGCTTAGATTCCCCAGTGGTACCTACCATCAGCAACTTGCAAAAAACAAGGATTCTCAAAGTTTCATATTTTTCTCAATATCTATGCATCTAGGAGTAAAAGTGCAAGAGAGCAATATTGTTAAGAACACAATTTGCTACAACTTTTGTTCTAAACGTTTTTTTGTAGTATGCTTAGATTCCTCAGTGGTACCTACCATCAGTAGCTTGCAAAAACAAGGATTCTCAAATTTTCATATTTTTCTCAATATCTATACATCTAGGAGTAAAAATGCAAGAGAGCGATATTGTTAAAAGTAAAATTTGCTACAANATGTTTGGAGTGTCGCGGAACCCCTTTGTGGTCTGCCGAGCGGGAGCAGTGGGCTATTAGGCCCCCATTGGGGGCCGTGGCCCCGCTTCGGCACCCCGATTGCCTTCCATGCAATTAATTACTGTCGACTCGCGTAACAATACAAAAACACCTAAATTAAACCCATTTTTGATAAGAAATATTAGAAATCATATTAAATTTAAAAATTTATTCGAATTCTTTTTGATTGAAATAAAAACAACAAGAAGGGAGGAAAAAAGAGGTCCATGTAGCTCCCTATTGTGGACCCCGCAAATGGGCTCCTGGGCTATGATCGAGTGACAACCGGTTTGATTGATGGACCGCGCCATAATTACGCCCTCATTATTAACTATTAATGTCCAATCCTGCTCTCGCAACACCCCTATCACTCCCAAGAAGGAACCCCCCTCTTTCATTCTTTCTTATTTATTTTTTTATTTCAAAATCGGTACTACCTCTTTCTTCTCCTTGATATTACTTCTTCTTCGGTAATAATTAGTGTTTAATTGCCGCGGCCCTTAATGATCTTCCTCCTTAAGGCGGCTTTTGGTAATTAACAGAATTAAGCTAATTAGGATCTGGGTTTAAACGAACGATTAACCACAAAGAAACAGGTGGAAGAAGAAGAAACAAATAAATTTATTTTTAATTTTAATTCATTTTACTTTTCTTTTTCAACGATTCCAATCCGCTTGAATATTCTGACGTTGAAACACTCAAATTCTTCCTTTTCTTTGATTGCTTTAATTTTGATCCATCATCACTAAAATAAAGAGAAAAATTAAATTTAAAAATCTTTTTTAGTAGGGGATCAATTAAAAATTCGAATTGATAGGTATCGAGTTCGTAGTTAGCTTTACATTCGTTATTACTGGTACCCACAATCGTACATATCCCGAACGTAATTCGTCGAATTACCGTCTAATAACGACGCTCTCGTGGGGCGCCGTCTCTTCGTCGGTAGTCATTCGCCCGCAATTACAAGGTTCGTAATTAGCGCCTCGTGTGTGATTGATCGCCGACGAACCATTACCATTAGAAAACTGAACTCGACACGTTTATTTCTTATTTTGATCCCCCACTAACTTTTCAGTTCTTTACAAAAGGTGCCCCGAGTGTTTTAATCGGAAATTGCGCGTGAAACGCAACTTTCGAACGGCTCCGTTGCGGTTTGAAACGATAATATGGATAATAACAGGTAGTGGGTTAATCGAAACGCAGCCGGATAACAAATAAAATGTCTATTCTTCGTGAATAAGGTTTTAAAAATTTATTAACACACTTAGAAACTCAAACTAGAATTTTGAGTCGATAAAAACTAACTACTTACGAAGGAGTAACCAAAAGGGAGTCGATTTTTGACGATTAACCACAATTAAACACTTAATTATTGTAAACTTGATGAGAAATTAATTAAAACGCGAAAAAGAACCGTTTCTGTCAAAAAATCGTAATGAAAGGAAGGGGTGCCAACCTCAATTTTATCCAAACTAAAAACTAATTAATTTCCCAAGAAATATTAATAAAAAAATTATTGATTTAAAATTAAAATTGATATTAACTTAAACAATTGGAGTAATCCCTACATTAATAAACCCAAAAATCTTGATAATCATTTTTAACCTCAACCCAAGATTAATTAAAACAAAGATTACTTAAAAAAAGAATTTTGAGTCGATAAAAACTAACTACTTACGAAGGAGTAACCAAAAGGGAGTCGATTTTTGACGATTAACCACAATTAAACACTTAATTATTATAAAATTGATAAGAAATTAATTAAAACGCGAAAAAGAACAGTTTCTGTCAAAAAATCGTAATGAAAGGAAGGGGTGCCAACCTCAATTTTATCCAAACTAAAAACTAATTAATTTAGCAAGAAATATTAATAAAAATTATTGATTTAAAATTAAAATTGTTCTTAAGTTAAACAATTAGAGTAATCCCTACATTAATAAACCCAAAAATCTTGATAATCATTTTTAACCTCAATCCAAGATTAATTAAAACAAAGATTACATAAAAAAGAATTTTGAGTCGATAAAAACTAACTATACTTACGAAAGAGTAACCAAAAGGGAGTCGATTTTTGACGATTAACCACAATTAAACACTTAATTATTATAAAAATGATAAGAAATTAATTAAAACGCGAAAAAGAACCGTTTCTGTCAAAAAATCGTAATGAAAGGAAGGAGTGCCAACCTCAATTTTATCCAAACTAAAACCTAATTAATTTACCAAGAAATATTAATAAAAAAATTATTAATTTAAAATTAAAATTGTTCTTAAATTAAACAATTGGAGTAATCCCTACATTAATAAACCCAAAAATCTTAATAATTACTTTTAACCTCAACCCAAGATTAATTAAAACAAAGATTACTTTAAAAAAGAATTTTGAGTCGGTAAAAACTAACTACTTACGAAGGAATAACCAAAAGGGACTCGATTCTTGACGATTAACCACAATTAAACACTTAATTATTATAAAAATGATTTAAAACGAGAAAATGAACCGTTTCTGTCAAAAAATAGTAATGAAAGGAAGGGGTGCCAACCTCAATTTTATCCAAACTAAAAACTAATTAATTTACCAAGAAATATTAATAAAAAAATTGATTTAAAATTAAAATTGTTATTAAGTTAAACAATTGGAGTAATCCCTACATTAATAAACCCAAAAATCTTGATAATCATTTTTAACCTCAATCCAAGATTAATTAAAACGAAGATTACTTAAAAAAAGAATTTTGAGTCGAATCGATTCTTGACGATTAACCACAATTAAACACTTAACCATTATAAAAATGACAAGAGAGTTTCTGTCAAAAAATCGTAATGAAATGAAGGGATGTTTATTCTTCGTGAATAAGTTTTTAAAAATTTATTAACACTTACGCGTGATTAGCTAGTTTTTTGTTTAATCTCGTTTTTTCGGTTTTTCCAATTTGCCCGCGAACGATTCCAGACACTTCCGTTGGAGTTATCGTTAAGGCAAAGCTAGTTACGTAATGCCCTAAATTAATTTGTTTATAATTAAAGATAGATTTCAACGACGATGAGTAACTATTATAAAATCTTGACCATGTAGAATAAGCTAAAAAGATTTTTTTAAACATTAAATCAAAAAAAAAAATTCTTTTACGTACCAAAACACGCGCTTTTTTTTAAAACCCCATTTTTATTTACGACATTTTCAAAATGTCTTTGAAGCGCGGTTGCGGCTTCTTCAACATCTTTTTCGCGCATCACATCACAAAGGTGTCTCAAATATTCTTGGGTATCTTTCTTTTTCAAACTAAAAATTAAAAAATTCTAAATCAATTAGAAACGAGTAAAAGCAACATTTTTACAAAACTTTATGATTATTTAGATAAGAAATGTATTCTTGTTCTTCGGGTGTTAAAAAAATCGTTGCGATTCCCGATTTTCCAGCGCGACCCGTTCGGCCAATTCGATGTAAATAATCTTTATCAGTTTGAGGTGGGGTGTATTGTACAATTAAATCAGCTTCTGGGACATCCAAACCACGAGCAGCAACATCCTAATTAATTAAAAATCATTAATTTACTTTGACATTATGGCATCATGCATCACATATAGCTTCTATTTTAAACTAAACAATAAGAAGAGATAGCTTGCGGGCGAGGCATTATAGTAGGTGTCGATTAAAATTGTATTACGTCTAATTTAACTTAAAAAGAACTTGTGAAATCAACTTAGTTTGAAAGAGAGGAAGTTTGTCCTGAAATGTTATTGGAAGACAGAAAATGCCATTGAAGTGCAAAGACGATTCAGAAGGGAATTCGCAAACAGAAGGGCAGGTGCTGGAAACACTCCTTGATCTCAAAAGATAGCGTCTATCGCATCATGAAGCGTCTGCACTGGAAATGCCACATTCCAACTGTAATCCATGCTCTCAAAGAAGACAATCCAGATCGGAGAGTTCAATTCTGGGAATGGTAGCTGGCAAAATGTGCAGAAAATGCAAGGTTTCAGAACTGTCACTGGTCAGAGATACCTCAACTTGCTTCAGGAGTTAGTCGGTTCACAAATTTCAGAGATGTTTGGTGATGACGACGAGATTTACTTTTAGTAAGATGGAGCACTGAAAGTATCTAATATTGATCCTAAACGATTTGCAGAAGATTACTTATATGTCTTAAAGCCAATATCCCAAGGATTTGACAAATTGCAAAAAAGGTGNTTTTATCGTAGTAAAATGACGTAAGTTTTATTTGAAATGTTTCGAGAAAACGAGTAATTTTTTTATTGAAAGGTTGAGTTTTAAAACCAAAAAACGATTTAAAACAGCTTCGCCCCGTCGTCTTTACATTTTTTTGTTTATTCACCTCCAGTAATCCTTCTTCACACAATAAATTAAGGAGGGGATGTTTGAAAGTTGATTCGCTAATAACGCATTTTAGTTGATATGCGGGCATTTAAGGGTGATAAAGTAGTTTTAAAAAATAAAACTTATTACCTGAATTAAGTGATAAATACGTGCAATATTTATGCTAAGTGTTAGGTGATATTGGTGATGTTGAGATCATCGGATTGCTATTTTATGGATGTTAGTAGGCATTTCAACATAATTATTCAAGCAGAGGCAAGCTTTCGTTTGAAGATATAAAACATTAAAATCTGTCTAACCGTTATTTAGTTATAGCGTATTATTTATTTAACTATTAATGTTAGATATAGGACATATAAGGTATAAAAGATGTAAAATGAGACTAAGTGATAAAAGTATGGGGGGTGCCATTTAAAAAATGAAATTATGATACTTCCAAATTTCGAAAAGTTAACATGCCATAGTAAAGTGACCAAACGATCTAGCCAGCCGTTCTCGCCACCAAAACACACTCCATCATGTTCAGAATCCTAAACTGATATCCCAAAAATCGAGCGTTTTGTGATCTTTTGAACAAATGTCTGCTAGAGCAGATTTTTTTAGAAAAATTCGAATAACTCGAGAACGGCCGAATCAAATTGGAAAAAGTAAAGTTATTCATAAACCTTGAATATAGACAAATCCAAATATGTAAAAATATATAGGGTGTTCCATTTAAAAAAATAAAGTAGATGGCGACTTCCGGTATAACCGGAAGTCCTAGATATCTGATATTTTAGTCGAAGAGAACGCAATTGATTGTACTTAAATCTGAGTTCTCAAATTTTTATTTTGGCCAGAACTCCAGAAACGTCTAATGACCGGTCTCGCTGAGACACCCTGTATATTTATTTTCATTTAAATTATTGATTAATATAAAAAATTAGTGGATTTAAATCAGATTAAAATCGTGTTTTAAATCGAGCGAACCGTGTCATACACACTTTCTTGTAAACTAGGCCGAGGCATTAATATTAACACCATAATGATATAATATTATACAACATACACCTTCACTATAAAGTTAAGCCGAGGTCACTTGCGGTTGAAGTGTTAGAGTTACTTCATTTTGCAAACTCGGCTATTATCTAATATTGCATCCATTTGAAATAAATTGTAGCGATTCTTCCGCAAACGACCCCGGCTTAGGTTTATAGGAAAGGTGTGTGTTGTATAATATTATATCACCAAGGTGTGAACTCTAATACCTTGCCCGCAAGCGACCTTGGCTTAACTTTATAGAGGTGTACAATGTATATTTTGTCATAATGGTCTTAACCTCAATGCCTCGGCCGCAAGCGACCTCGGCTTAACTTTATAAAGAAGATGTATGTTGTATAATATTGCATCAATATGTTTTCAACTCCAATGCCTCGGCCGCAAGCGACCTCGGCTTAAATTTATAGAGAAAATGTATGTCGTATAATATTGCATCAATATGTTTTCAACTCCAATGCCTCGGCCGCAAGCGACCTCGGCTTAACTTTATAGAGAAGCCGTATGTCGTATAGTATTACATCAATATGTTTTGACCTCCAATGCCTCGGCCGCAAGCGACCTCGGCTTAACTTTCTAGAGAAGATGTATGTCGTATAATATTGCATCAATATGGTTTCAACTCCAAAGCCTCGGCCGCAAGCGACCTCGGCTTAAGTAGAACGAAAAACCTGTTATTTCGAGCTTAATTTAATTCTAAATATGTTTAAACTTACGGTACAAATTAAAACCCCTTTTCGAGTATTTTTGAACCTAACAAAAACATCCTTCCTTTCCTTTTGATCCATATTACCATGTAATTTAAAAAATTCAACGTCAACAACTAATTCTTCATCACTTTCATCATCGCTATCATCAAAAACAACGACATTTTCGCCGTTAAAATTCATAGTTTTTTGTCTCCCCCGATTTTTGGGCATATTTACCAAATGGTTCGAAAACAATTCGTAATGGAACTCGACCATGTGAGTGCTCGCCATAAAAACAAATATTTTCGCGTTTTTCTTCGATTTCGAAACGATCATCGAAGACAAAGTAAACAATCTATGCTTAATCGGAACAATTAAACACTCTTGGGTTACCGTCTTTGGGATAATAAAATCGTTTTCGTTAACGTTTTGAGTTTCGTCTAACGCATCGATCGAAACGTGATCTTTCATGGTTAAATCGGCTAATTCAGCGATATCTTTAGTTAAAGTTGCCGATAATAAAATCGTTTGATATTCTTTATTGGTGACTTTTTTATCATTTTGTGATTTTTGGAAAAGCATTTCAATTGGGTTATAATCACTGTGAATTTTTGATGAGTCAATTTTTTCGATTAAACTTAAAATATCCTTTCGAAATCCCATATCTAATAATCTATCGGCTTCATCGAGCACTACACACTTTATTTTACTTAAATCTAATGCTGAAGTGTGTAAAACGTGATCTAAAATCCTCCCAGGGGTTCCTATTAAAATATTTACACCTTTTCGAATACGATCCTTTTCTGTTTTTCTACTTTCACCACCACAAAGATAACTGGTAACAATCCATTGAAATGTCTAACAAAATAAACAATAATTATTAATTAATTAATTAATTAAGGGCCGGTTGTACAATATACCGATGAACTTCCCGATAGCGTTATCTGGCCGATAAGTTAGTTTGTTGGAGTCGATTCTTGATGAATAAGCACAATTAAACACTTAATTATTATAAAAATGATTTAAAACGCGAAAAAGAACTGTTTCTGTCAAAAAATCGGAATGAAAGGAAGAGGTGCCAACCTCAATTTTATCCAAATTAAAAACTAATTAATTTTCTAAGAAATATTAATAAAAAAATTGATTTAAAATTAAAACGGTTATTAAGTTAAACAATTGGAGTAATCTCTACATTAATAAACCTAAAAATCTTGATAATCATTTTTAACCTCAATCCAAGATTAATTAAAACAAAGATTACTTAAAAAAAGAATTTTGAGTCGATAAAAACTAACTACTTACGAAGGAGTAACCGAAAGGGAATCGATTCTTGTCGATTAACCACAATTAAACACTTAATTATTATAAAAATGATAAGAAATTAATTAAAACGCGAAAATGAACCGTTTCTGTCAAAAAATCGTAATGAAAGGAAGGAGTGCCAACCTCAATTTTATTCAAAATAAAACCTAATTAATTTCGAAGTTTCTCACTTCGAAACAGTTTCTGAAGAAGCCGAAACGGTCTAGTGTTAGTTCTAGTTTTACACTAGCCTTGTTACTACATATATTATGCAGAACTAATACTATACTTAGAGCAAGAATCATTTGGGTTTAGCCCCACGTCTCTAAAGACGTCTAAACCCGAATGATTTTAGTTCTATATCTAGTGTTAGTTATAGTTTTAACTCTTTATTTCTTTAGTTTAATAACACTTGTTTAGTGTATAAATAATTATTTTTAAATAAATTTTTGAATAAAGTTTAAACGTGAAGATGACACAAATTCAATGTTACCAACTGTAACCAACTTCACAACAATTTGTCAAAATTAAATGTCAATTTATGAAACGTCATGTTTTTTTTAAGGAAATTAGGACTTTGGATAGCGAATATCTTTATCTTCCCAATAAGTTTATCGGCCGGATAATTATCAGATAGATTTATCAGTATATTGTACAACTAACCCTATAAATC